TTATGAATAGGTACCTCTATAGGAACCATAAGGGAAATTAAAAAGTTTCCCAAATTGCCACCTAGTTAAACAGTTAACCCTGAAGCCCTGAAGCCCTAAACTCTAAGGTTATGACGTGTGTAGAGGCCTGAGAAGAGGTGGTTCGAAATAATTATTTTTAGGGGACAAATAGGAAAAATTAGGAATTTGGAAAATCTGAGTGTAGGGAAAAATAGGAAAATAATAGGATTGTGTCCAAAACGGTCAATTGTACATGATTTTGTAGATTTTTTCATCGCCATCCAGGAAATCCTATCGAAATCCCATTAAAATCCTATTTTCGCCTATTTGTATCCTGTATCCTATTATAGAACAAAAATAGGGGGGAAACTAGGTGAAAAATGACAAATAAATAGGAAATAATAGGATTGTATCCCAAACTGACAATGTTCTATGATTTTGTCGATTTGCGCATTGCAATCCAGGAAATCCTATCGAAATCCTATTAAAATCCCATTTTTATTCTGTTTTTATCCTATTATAGGACAAAACTAGGGGAAAAATAGGTGAAAAATAGGAAACATATAGGAAAATAATCGGACTGTGTGCAAAACTGACAATTTTCCATGATTGAACCAGAATTCCTGAATAGGTCCTACTTTTCACTTAAAAATAATTATTCACGGATGTGTGACTCTAGCTGGACACTGCACGTCATAAGTCTAAGGAGTCCGAGCAGCTCGTGCCCCAAAGCCATGGCCAAGACACTCGACATCAGGACCTTGAGAGTTTTGCCCGGGAGCTTTAGACAAGTTTTGGGTTTAGGGTTTAGGGTTTAGGAGAGTTTTGCCCGGGAGCTTTAGACAACAGGGAACTCCAATGCATCAGTAAGTATTAGGTTTAGGGTCTAGGGTAGGACCTTCACTATGATGTATACGGGGCCTTCTCTTAAGCAAAAAACCTTAAGTGTGTCTGGGACAGGGCTTTGGAAGGGTAGGTTTCGTGCCAGACTGGACGGGAAGCCGTGACGAAACCTGCACATACACTGATGTAGGAACCTAATCAAGAAACCCTGGCCCTATAACCCCCAAAATAGTCGGATTCATATAAGGAACCCTAATAAAGGCCCAAGGTTTCTTAATCTGGTTCCTACATTAAACCCCCAGGGCAGTTATAGTACCCTTACAGTACCCTTTAAAGGAACCCTTATAGAACCCTAATGAAGGCCCAATCAGGATCCTACACTAGGCCCTAGGATCCGGGAACAGACCGTCTCATAGGGGAGTCTGGGGTCAAAAATGTCTTTTTTTTGTGTGTCAAAATGTCTTTTTTTTGTCTGTTGTTCTACATACACATGTTTCGGCTGTGGTTCTAAGCTTTACGGTTCAGGTTTAGGGATTAGGGTTAAGGGCTTAGGAGGGTTTAGGGTTTCAGACTTGAAGCTTTAGGGTTTAGGGTTTAGGGTTTGGGTGTAAGGTTTAGGGTTTAGGGTTGTGGTTTAGGGTTTGGGCTTTGGGTCTAAGGTTTACAGTTTAGGGTTCTGGTTTAGGGTTAAGGACTTGGTTGTAACGTTTAGGGGTTTAGGGTTAAGGGTTTAGGCATAGGGCTTAGGGTTCAGGATTTACGCTTGGCCGAGACTCCGCCGAGACCCGGCCGAGACCCTTTTTCGGGGTTCGCCAGGGTTTAGGGATTAGGGTTAACGGCTTAGGAGGGTTTAAGGTTTTAGAGTTGAAGCTTTACGGTTTAGGGTTTAGGGTTTGGGTGTAAGGTTTAGGGTTTAGGGTTGTGGTTTAGGGTTTGGGCTTTGGGTCTAAGGTTTAGGGTTTAGGGTTCTGGTTTAGGGTTAAGGACTGGTTGTAAGGTTTAGGGGTTTAGGGTTAAGGGTTTAGGACATAGGGCTTAGGGTTCAGGATTTACGCTTGGCCGAGACTCCGCCGAGACCCGGCCGAGACCTTTTTTCGGGGTTCGCCAGGGTTTAGGGATTAGGGTTAACGGCTTAGGAGGGTTTAAGGTTTTAGAGTTGAAGTTTTACGGTTTAGGGTTTAGGGTTTGGGTGTAAGGTTTAGGGTTTAGGCTTTGGGCGTAAGTTTAGGGTTTAGGGTGCTGGTTTAGGGTTAAGGACTTGGTTGTAAGGTTTAGGGGTTTTTGGTTAAGCGTTCAGGACATAGGGCTTAGGGTTCAGGATTTACGCTTGGCCGAGACTCGGTCGTGACCCGGCCGAGACCCGGATTTAGGGTTCGCCAGGGTTTAGGGATTAGGGTTAAGGGCTTACGAGGGTTTAGGGTTTAGGGTTTTGGGTTGTGCTCTAGGGTTTAGGGTTAGGGTTTGGGAGTAAGGTTCAGGGTTTAAGGTTCTGGTTTAGGGTTTAGGGTTTGGGTGTAGGGTTTAGGGTTTAGGTGTAGGGTTTAGGGTTTAGGGTTGTGGTTTAGGGTTAAGGACTTGGTTGTAACGTTTAGGGGTTTAGGGTTAAGGGTTTAGGATAGGGCTTAGGGTTCAGGATTTACGCTTGGCCGAGACTCCGCCGAGACCCGGCCGAGACCCTTTTTCGGGGTTCGCCAGGGTTTAGGGATTAGGGTTAACGGCTTAGGAGGGTTTAAGGTTTTAGAGTTGAAGTTTTACGGTTTAGGGTTTAGGGTTTGGGTGTAAGGTTTAGGGTTTAGGGTTCTGGTTTAGGGTTAAGGACTTGGTTGTAAGGTTTAGGGGTTTTTGGTTAAGCGTTCAGGACATAGGGCTTAGGGTTCAGGATTTACGCTTGGCCGAGACTCGGCCGTGACCCGGCCGAGACCCGGATTTAGGGTTCGCCAGGGTTTAGGGATTAGGGTTAAGGGCTTACGAGGGTTTAGGGTTTAGGGTTTTGGATTGTGCTCTAGGGTTTAGGGTTAGGGTTTGGGAGTAAGGTTCAGGGTTTAAGGTTCTGGTTTAGGGTTTAGGGTTTGGGTGTAGGGTTTAGGGTTTAGGTGTAGGGTTTAGGGTTTAGGGTTGTGGTTTAGGGTTAAGGACTTGGTTGTAACGTTTAGGGGTTTAGGGTTAAGGGTTTAGGATAGGGCTTAGGGTTCAGGATTTACGCTTGGCCGAGACTCCGCCGAGACCCGGCCGAGACCCTTTTTCGGGGTTCGCCAGGGTTTAGGGATTAGGGTTAACGATTTAGGAGGGTTTAAGGTTCTAGAGTTGAAGCTTTACGGTTTAGCGTTTAGGGTTTGAGCGGGTTTCTAATTTGGCCTAGGCCTGAACAGATGTCCTGTGTCGTAGACGCCTCACCATGGCCGTGACATGGCCGAGACATGGGAATGTGTAAGCCGAGACGTCAACTGAGACATACCGTGACATGGCCGAGACAATGCCATGCGTGAGCGGGTTTCTAATTTGGCCTAGGCCTGAACAGATGTCCTGTGTCGTAGACGCCTCACCATGGCCGTGACATGGCCGAGACATTGGAATGTGTAAGCCGAGACGTCAACTGAGACATAAAAAAAGACATTTTGACACAAAAAAAAAAGACAAAAAGGATACGCGACCCTAGCCCAAGTGCCGGAAGTCTCAATGGCTCCGGCTTTGGGAGGCAGGACGTGACTTGGGGCCCTTGTCCAGAAATCCGACGTGCACCTGGGGACCTGGTACAGTTTTCGACATGCACCTGGTACAGTTTTTAAGTTCTCTGCTGTTTTGCAGCCGCGTTTGTGTATGCAGCGATGCTATGCGATGCTATTCCTTGTTGCTTGTCGCTCAAAATACCTTCATAGCTTGTGTCTTATGATGTCTTATGCAAGTAACTTCATAGCATGGCTTGCCCGGATTGTCATCATAAGTTGCCACGGTGTGTTGGTGAAACATGGATGTACGACTATGTCCTTACGCCATGACTTCCATGACTTTAGTGTTGTATTCTCTTTCCTCAGGAATTGTATCACAGTAAGTCGAAATGGCTACTGCATACTCTACCTCCAACCGGGCAAGGCAGAAAAGCACCAAAATCTTTTCGTTATCTTGGTTCTGCAAATCGACACTGCCCTCCCTCCTGTCTGAGTGAAACCGAGAGGATACTGTGAGGAACGTGCGGGCAAGCAATCTGTGACACCCCATACCCTTTGTGTTTATCTAGGAACACCAAGACTGAAGCGCTGCGAATGGATGGAGCATCCGCGACTGTACAAAGGGCTTAGGCCACCCATCTCGAGACTCCACGAATGCTCCATGCATCAAATCAAAGAATGCCATTCACCAAGCGCTGATAATTGTCCTTGGGCCACTCACGCTCTCGGATTCAAGCAGCAAAGCACCAGCCATAAGATGAGATGCATGCACTGTCACAAGGTCGTAGCAGAAGCTTCAGGCACACGGGGCCTTCATTTAGCCAAGGATCGTATTGGATCGTCCGCCAATTGTTTACGGACGTGTCAATCAATTCGACAATTTTCTCTATACCTTGCTTCAGCTCCGAAACAGTGAGCACAAGGTCTGTTAAGCACTGAGGTGGAAAAGCACCAACCCAAAGTCTCCTCCTAGTTTTTCCGCTCATTCTCTCTGTCTCTCGCTCTCTCTCTCGCTCTCTCTGTCTCTCCTGTCTCTCTCTCTCTCTCTCTCTCTCTCTCTCTCTTCTCTTGCGCTTTGCTTTTCTTCCTTCCGGCCAAGTCGGACACGTCATGAAGCACCGGGTCATCAGCGAAGGAAGTCCCCCGCACCTCGCTGGCTGGCGCATTTCCTCCAAGCGGGAACCCTGTACTCTATCGTACATCTCCAATAATAAGCATCCTGCGGCCTGCCTTTTGCATGTGCAAACAGCAAACTGGACAAAATCCTACCTACTTTGCAGCTCCCTCTGTCTTTGCTTTGCTCAGGGGCTAGGAGAGCATGAGGCCCTCGCTTGCATCCACTGCACCCCATTTTGAAGTGGTGAATCTGGAAGCTAACTCTCTTTCACTCTTTGCCTCCCTCCCTCCCGCCCTCGCTCTCTCTCTCTCTCTCTCTCTATCTCTATCCCTCCCTCTCGCCCTCTCTCTCCCAGACATACTATGTAGATAGGCCTACAACGCAACACACAGCAGCCATACCCCCGACGCATCACGTTCCGCTAATGCCAGGATGCAAGCTTCTTCCGTCAGGTTGCAAAAGAACCTGCTCCGCAGCCAGGCATTCCAACATCGAACAAACCGTACGTAAAAGTCACACCCCTGCTTGCGAAAATGCAGAATCCTGAACGCCCCGGTCAAAGGGTTCGAACTCGAAGGGGCTCGTACCTGTAACGCTTTTCAATGCAGCGGGAGCTTCTGTGCACAGAGCATCTCGGCTCCAGGGATCTTGCAAATTAAACTGCAGCTTGGCCAGAAAGCAAGCTGGAGTACGAGAAGGACTGCAAAAAAGCGTTTTGGGTCTGGTTTCTCGCAGACCTGATTCAAGGTTTAGGTCAAGTTTAGGTACCTGAAGACCGTACCAGCATGGGTGCCCAAAGACCTTACCGGCCTGTCTTGCAGCGTGGACAGGACGAAGTCTGCCCCCTCTCGGAAGCAGGGCATCTTCGAGCCAGTCAGCATCATCCGCACCTGGTAGCACGCGGAGTGATTCAAAATCCAGGGCACTACCGGTCACAACACAAAACCGACAAACCGGCGACCACCAGCCTCTGAAAAGTACTCCACTAGTCTTGAGAAGCACGCTGTGCTTTCTTAAGTCAGGGAATCCTCTGATTGATTTCCTTGCAAACGATGTACAGACATGTTGGCTCAGACATACCTACACTGTAATACATTATGTTAGCTGCCCTACCACTGCCGTGGAGTTCAGCATGTATGTAAACAGAGTGTACGCACTGCGTAAGGGCTACAGCAGCCTCGAGCTTCAGAATCAAATGGATCAGTATGCCACTTTATCTGTTTCACAAAGTGTTCACACTCTTCCAATCTTGTCTTCCTAACTTGTCTTGACGGGTCGCAGCCTGCGGTCTTTTTGCAAACAGCCTTTCGTGAACGACGACATTTGCAAACCGCTCAAGTTATTCAAGCCCAACACAGCTTTGCGGAATCCGGGAGGGGGCGGGAGGGGCGGGAAGGGGACGGCTTTAAAAAGTTTGGACGTGAGTGTGCTAAAACATGCATGGCGATATGTGCATTTCCCAAAACAAACCAAAGCAAGCTGCCGCAGCCGTGCTCAGTTTTGTGCAAAACTTTTGGCCCAACCAACAAAATGTGAGGAAGGAGAGGAAGAAGAAGTGTAAACACATACCTGGCAAGGCCTAGAATGGTTGCGAGATGGCTCCCGCTAGATTTCCCAAATTGCAAAGGTTCACCTTTCTTGCCTTGTCTTCAGTTGCTAAGCTCCTCCCGCACCCAGCCGTGGACTCTGGAGAAATACTCTTGGACAACTGTGATTTTCCTGGGGAAAACCAGCGGAAGCGCGGAAGGCAGCATGCCGCGGCCATTTGTACAGTGTTTTTGCTCTCATTCTGCACGGCTGGTGCCATGTGTGTTGATTTTTCACTTAGATCAGACTTATGTCACATGTGCTTGGCACTTTATAGAAGCTTGTCATGATGCGGTGGCTATCCAACGCTACGTAACAGCAGTGGAACGTAATGACTCCAGTCATTCAACCACACGCCGCCACACCTTTCAAGGGCTTGGGAACTGGTCTGGAAGTTGGAATTTGTGCCCAAGGTATGACCGGTTGGTTTATGGTTTGCATCAGGACAAGTCTTGAGCTGCAATACTTGCAGAGCAATCCTTGAAATCCAGGTGGCCCTTGACCAGAAGCCCGAAACGCTCCACCCTAAGCACTGAAGAGCCAGGGGAAAAACCTAACATACACCTTCTAACTAACTATGGGATATTACGACCCGCATAAGGGCGAATCCAGAGCCGAACCAAAGCCCGACAGCAGACGAGGCTTTAGCTAGACTCTGCACAACTCCGGCCTGTAAAACGATCCGATCCATGTGCTTCCGCGCTTCCAGAAAGCCGCGAATGAGCAGCGTGCCTGGGGTTTCTTTCGTTTCGACTCCCACTGAGCAGCTGGTTTTGGGATCAGGTCAGACACATGTTTCTTCTCGCGAGCTTGTGGTAAAGAGCAGGGACGTGAATTTCAAGGCTGCAGCTGTCGCGGAAGCCCTTCGTGCAAAGAAGCAGACTCTAACTAGTGACTGGTGCCTCTACCCCACTACAGTTGTCCGTTCCTGGGTGCAGAGCTCGCATGCCTGCAACTTCGATGTCTACGCGGCTGGGAAGCCTCCAACTTGGAGGAACCGGTCGCAGTTTGCTCCAAATCTGACACATCCGACAAGCTGCGAAAGTACTCGTACTGCTCCGAACATTCGCCATCCATGACATCCAGGATCTCCTGCGATGATTTGGCTCTTGCCTGCTTCGGAAGCTTTGAGGAGTTTGGGATCTGCGGACGAGGCCGAGCACTCCAGCCTGCGTCAGCTTGAAAGGCGAGTTCTCGAAGGCCATGTTCCCGCCGGGCGAGTTGGAGAGCATGAACCTGGCGATGTGAGGATCCGGAGGTTTGGGTCTGCGGTTTTCAGTTCTGGGCCGCTGTGTCGGAAGCCACGGCTACGATGGGATTGGACTGATGTCGGCACTCACACTGGGACTCTAGGACAAGCCAGGAGAGAGCGGCCCGCGTGGTAGGGCTCAGGGCTTTTTGAGGGCTGCAACAGTGGCCCGGCCATGAGGAAGTGGTTCTTCCGCTGCTACGACTACAGCTCGCCACATTGTTACACTTATGCAATCGCACCCATGAAAATCTCACTTCAACCTGGCGACTGACAACCTTCAAAGTCTGTGGCAAAAGACCCCCCGGATCCAAGAACAAGTATTCAACAGCCCTGCAAAGGTGTAAGGACTGAATACCGCCTCAAGCATCCTTGCTGAAACCCTCCTGTGGAATTCCGATCAGCGCCAGCATAACCAAGTGACCCAAAGTCGATATGGACCACATGGCCACTCGTCAACAGCATGAGGTTGCCGTTGTGACGGTCTTTCACCTGCAGTTTTGTGAGCTGGGTTTCGGGTTTCAGATCTGTGGCAAGGATCGCAATGACTGGACGTCGTCTGACTGAAAAACTATATACATACAGTAACGGGCCCGTAACACACATGTTGCATCATGTTGCATTTGTGCCGGGTCTTCGGGATTGGCTAGCGTCCGAGGATGGACCTCCCCTCACGAAACGTCAAGCAGATAGACTCTGCTATGTCTTGAAAGATCGATTGAGAGGCGTGCCCTGGCGTGTCAGCAGAGTCGGCATGCTTTCTCAGAAGGCCTTGAAGTCGTGGCCTCCACCCCGAGAAACTATGGAAGTTCCACCGCAGCGGCAGGGGACTCAGGAGATTCCCGCGAGCAGTGGCTTAGTCCCGGAACCTCCGTGGTTTCTCGGAGGCCAAAGCCCTCTCGCTTCGCAGAGCCACTGAGCCACTGCTCAGCAATGGTGCTCCGCCACATCACGTCCCGTCTGGAGCGCTGCAGCAAGGCGATGAACCCTCCAAGTTGATGACTGAAGCTGCCAGAGAGAGCTGCTCTGCCGCCAAACATTGGAGCCCAACAACGCATGGTAGGCTCTAGACTCTGCCTCATCCACAGATTTTCGCTCCCTCAGGACTTCACAGACAGTAATGGCGAAGCTACGGGAAGCGACATTCACGCAGTTGCAGCATGAAGCATACTTAGCCACCACTGCCGAGCCTTCCTGACGTGTCGAACAGAACGACTAACTCGTGCCAACCTGAACACCGATGGTGCCCCCGGATCGTCCGCCACGCGCAACTCACGACCACCCGCTTCCACGTCACTGATAGTTACTCTGGCAGAGAATGTTACCAGCATGAAAAGGCGCTGCAACGCCCAGCACATGCTTGCGCTACGGCTTGGCTCATGCGGGACAATGGGACCTCGACAGACGGATTAATCCAGCCGGCGCCATCCAGCGAAACATTGGGAAGAACCCCGGCGCACTTCACAATGAAGAACTTTCGAAACGCATGACGACGCCGGAAGATCATGCCAACAGCTGGAACATGGGCGCTGCCAGGGTTCTCCGAGGCTGAGGGGCACTTAGCAGCGGAGCCTTTCTACAGGGCCAGTGTCTGTCTGTAGAGCGGCGCGGCTGCTTCTTGCAAGGCTGTTCAGGAACACCGGGCCAGCGCGACACGCGGCGAGCACCAAGTTGCTATGCAGATTATGAACATAAGAACAGTGCCACTACTACTACTACTGCTACTACTACTACTACTACTTCTTCTTCTTCTCCTGCTGCTGCTACTATTACTACAACTCCTGCTACTACTACTCCTGCTGCTGCTGCTACTACTACTACTACACTACCACCACCCCCATATGGTTCACTGCGTGCTTAATAGTAACAGCTCGCGAATCACCGGCCCAGGCTGACACGGTACAGTAGCTATTTTCTGGCGCTTCGAAACCCTTGCTTACTTTGCTACAATCCAAGTTGCACTCTTTGTTTCCGTCAGTGTCTTTTGCCGTGGACATGTTCGCAACTCGGTTCTTTGGCCCCCCAAACCGCAAAAGCACAGAAGGCGCCAGGCGCTACGCCGAAGAGATGTTGGGTCTCATCCAATGGCAGCCGATGGCCTATGGCTATGGTCCTTTGCCTTCGGGCCAGCCCTGAAGCCTAGACCTGAAGCCTTGAAACACACCCCTGCCGTGGGCACTCAGACTGTGGCCTGCAGGAAGTAGACGACCAGGGAGTACGCCGCCGAGCTTTCAATGAAGTTCTTCTTCGCCTCGAACCTCGCTTGCATCAGTTTGGAAGGCTATCTTGGTGACTGCCAGTGATGGCGGAGAGCCCACGCGGGGCAGGCTTCTGGGAAGGGTTTGGTGAAAAGGGCTTTTCTCCGTCCTGCAGCAAGGACGTTTCAGAATTTAGGGTTTAGGGGCGCTTCTCAACTCGGACAGGCAGGGTGAAAACTTCAGGAGAAACTATGGTATGGTTTGGCTTGGAGCACCAATGCTGTTTCGGCTGTAGGGTGTAGCTCGCCTAATGCCAAGGTGCACCACAGTGTTTCGACGTTGGAATCTTGAACTCTTGCACCATACGAGTTTTCTGTGCGAAGTGTTCTCATACTGCTACGCCACTCCTCAAGGAAATTCTTACTTGTGGGGGGGGGGGGGTATGCAGCCACACTACAAATGAAACGTCTGCTGCAGAATTGCAAGGCTGCAGTGTTGTTCCACTCAGCTGGTGCTTTCAGTTGACACGTAAGTTGATTTCAGCTCTCTAGGTGTTTTGTACCGTTACGCTCTACGCTGTACCTCTCTCCGCGCCGTTGCATGAATATTCGGCGCTCACACTCGGACAATCCAGGCGAGGCATGTGGTTCGGAGTCTGACAAGTGAAACGAAGCATGATTATTAAGTATTAAGCTTCTTCTGTGTTACATGTTCGTGTAGCCAAATTGTTGGATATTTTCACTGCTAGAAGAATATACGGCGACATTACCATGCAGTGCTTTGCTTGGCTTGTCTTCTAGCATGCTTCGATTCATCCAGTGGTTCAGATGTTGCCACCTTTACGAGAAACGATTGACTCTTCGATGCATGCACCATCTCGGATTTATCTCTCCACTACTTTACTACCGGTGCGAACTCCTTTACAGAGCCACCAGGTTGTCACAACACCGTGCTATGATAGCCGCAGCCCGCGACCTAACTTCTCTCGTTTGGTAATTCCTGCATGAACTTTCGCACGACTATTCGCTGCATGGTTGAGTGTTTCATGTGCGAAGTTGTTTTTTCAAAGCCATCGATGTCAACTCTCACAGCTTTTGTACTATTATTTTAACAGCACCTGCGCTGTTTTTTGAAAGCCGATGAAAAGATTTTTCTGTGATGCTGCGAGGCACATGTGGTATTATGCTGGAAACATATCGCTCCCACGGGCTGTGCACCGAATACTGTCGGAGCGATGTCGCGTCGCAATGTGCAGCTGATTCTGACTTACCAGCACGCTGTTTTGTGCTGCTTTCATGCACCAGTCCGAACATTTCATGGTCCCAGAACCTCACACTCAGGACCTTCACCCTGAACCGCGGGACATAGCAGTCTCTTTCCAAGGCGCACACACACACACACACACACACCGGAACCTCCCAAACTCAACTTGCTCCCGAGCCACAGTCTGTCGGCAAAAGCCACTCTGAAGATCTCTGCCAACGTCCGGCCAGGGTAGAGTTTCTTCATGGCCTTACTTCACGTATCTCGCGGTATGGGATCGGTCGTATGTCAGAAGACTAGGGGCCTGTGGTTCGAGCTACGGCTACGGCTTTCGGCCTGGTGCGATGCCCAAGCCAAGCCGATATGCTGGCTGCTCTCAGCTGTCGAAAGATCCCCGCTGGCGGAGTGTTCTACATGAAGTAGGTGTTACCAAAACGGCATAAATGCTTCACTGGGGCGCTGAGTCAAAACAGCTCTATCATCTCCATCAAACGAGTCCGGGGTATCAAAGTGGAGGCCTAAGAGGGCTTAGTGGGATCCGCAAGGCAGGGTGTACGCTCTCGCAACTCGGACACAGCCAGACGAGGTCTCCTGGTTCGCGTTCGTACTACTTTAGGTACGGCCCCCCTACAGTAAGAGTCTATAATAGGGCTACTATTAAGGTCATAATATATCTATACAAGGAATACGATTCAACTATTACTGAGCGGGGTCCGTACCCAAGTACTACTCTATGTTCTCAGGTCAGGCAATCTCACACAAAAAACAAGTACTAATACAGAGCAAGAAGGGTCCAACCAGAGATCGTGGCATACTTTGAAGACCAACTTTCCGGACTAGACTGCGGGGATTTGCCAACCCCAGGGTCACGATGCCATGCAGAGTTCAGGGTTTAGGGCTTATGGTCTCGCAACTCGGACCGTGCAAGTGATGTGGTCTGGGGGCTTCGCACTGATTGAGTTCGGCTTAAATTCCTTTTACTTTGCCCTGAAACAGATATGCGAACGACACCTGAAAGGGTCAGAGAGCATCGACGGAGATCGAGTCGTGGATGAACTCGAGGAAGCCATTCGTCGAGCTGGTCACCAGTACCTGAGCCGGCTCTGAAATGCCGCCCTCTGCTGCAAACATGGCAACACCTCCCATATCCGAGTGAAACACAGAGCATGCAGAAAGCCACTACTACTGCTACTACTGCTACTACTGCTACTGCTACTACTACTGCTACTACTACTACTACTACTACTACCACCACTACTACCCCAAGCAGCGAAAGATGAATGCCTTGGCCCCTTTTAGGGTTCAAGAGTTGGAAACTGCTCGAAGCTCTCTAACATCTTGTCGGAAATCTGACAACATACCACGCCGCATGCTGAGGTTGTAGATCTGCACTTTGAGTCCGAGTGCTAGACAGCTTGAATACCAGCACATGCTGGAAGATCCGAGTTGATGATGCACCATGCTGCAAGGCGTTTTTTTGGTAAACCTCGCTGGCAAGGTGGTTTGACACGCTGCGCACTTTGTGCGTGCTCCCTTCAAGGAGCGAGTGTCGTGCACTGGCGACCTCGGAAAAGTCGCTCGGGAGCACCAGCCGCCGCAGCTCCAGCAGCCGATTCCCTATCAGCGCAGAGGAATAAGTCACATAAACAATTGAAATACATGCACCCAGCCGCTGGAAGCCAGAGCCTTCCTGCTCCCATTGGGAGTCGGGAAACCTTCCACTCATCTAGCTTGCCGAGCTGGCCGGTGCATGCCAAACCCTGCGAAGTATCGCAGAGATGCTACGACGGGCCCTATGTGGGGACCTTGGTAGCCCAAAAACACTACCAAGGCCGGCGGATTTGTCAACAACCCTTGGAAAAACTACGACGGACTTACGTGACAAGCTTCAAGCTGCTCTTGCTTTGCAGCATCTCACATCTCCCTTTGTATTCTAGGCTATTCCATGCTGCCGGCTGCAACCTTGACGGGGAACGACATGTTGCTCTATTACCCGACTCCCACGCTCTCTTTTACAGCTTACATCGCTTCTATGCTACATGAGGCTGTTCTGCATAAGTCGATCGGTTGCGGAGTCTGCCTGATGTACTTGTGAGTTTGGATACAAATCTACATCCGAAGCCCTAAACTTAAACAATCTAGGTGAAGGCCAGCACCCTAAGTTCTTGCTTCAGTATGTAACACCAACATACTCGGACACTCCGTTAGTACTGCATTGCACTGCTTATAGCTATAACGTTGATTGCGATTCATTGTTGATTTGATGGCATCAAATCATTGCCTTAGGCCCCTGCGCAGGTCCTACTCAAAGTCGGTCGTAGCCCAGACACGGAGCTTTTATATGTGCAACATTACGGCATGGCTTCTATTGTCATCGTCGCTCTTCTGCTGCATGTCGCATTCCATGGGTGCTGAACCGTTCCTCTATCATGCAGATGCCCCATTTTCATGTTTTGGTGGTTTATTATGGCTAATGTCTTGGTGGTCAGTCGGTGGTATCAACATCCGCCTCGGCCCTGCTAAGGAATTCGAAAATTTTTCGGAACTAATACTTCCCTCCAGCTCCTTTCGGTCTGGGTGCAGCTCGTGGCAATTGCCACTACGAATCTGCTTTGGGACTGGGGTTCATCATCACATGTCAAAGGTTCAACAACGCAAGAGAAACCCTATGAGAATCGACGAGCCGTCACCCCAGACCAGGCAAATTGAAAACTTCTCCTCGCTAGGAGGCATGACTCAGATTCTGCAAGTCTTCCTTGCAGGCTTGTCCTCAGGCTTCCTTGTCCTGGCCGGCAGGCTTCACGTCCAGGTTCAAGAGATCAGGTTTGGGTCCCTCCTCCTCTTCTTCCTCCTCCTCTTCCTGTCCCGGCAAACCGTCCAGTTGCTTCAGCTCCTCGTCGGTGAACATGTACCTCATTCCCTTGCGGACGATGGCCAAGGAGGCCATGAAGAAGGGGAACACGACCGAGGTCTCCTTGATGGCCTTGAGGCCATACAAGATTGCGAGGCAAACCACTTGGACGAGGGTGTACAAGTGCACACGCATGATGGGAAGCTTCTGCACGTAGTGGTACTGGGGGTACTTGGCCGGATCCCAAATAAGCCAGAGTTTCAGCCGGTCAAAGAGGTTGTTGCCGGTCAAGCTGGCGATTCCCATGTAGAAGAACACGCCCTGAAGCACCGACCGTGGAAGGAGCTTCAGCGCCGGGGCAAGGAAGAGTGCGAGACCGATGAACACATGTATCAAAAAATTGGTCGCGCGTTGCTCCACCACCTTCACCGGCACCTTACGCTCACCTCCCGGCATCTGCTGCACATCGTACGTGGTCAAAGAGATCACGTGAGTAATGCTCGGCACCGTGGAGGCCACAGAAAGGGGAAGGCCGAGCACGGCGCAAGCTGGCAGGGTAAGTGCCCCGCGGACAAAGAGGTCAAGATGATATCCAGGGCCCTTCTTGAGATTGTTGGACGGTCTATTCACAATCACGGAGGTCAAGTTCTGGTCTAGGTACCCCAACACTGCAAAGCCAATGGCCTGGGTTTATGTTGAGATCGAGATTCGCAGCTACGCAGTCGAAAGCCTATCCTTCTGATCCATTTACGATGACAGACGGACATCAAAAGTGGGTCCCCAGTTCGTCCCCGTTTTGAAGCTTAAACTCGGCGCCTAAAGTCGGTCACTCCGAGGATCGAGCCTTAGACTTATGGACCGAACCCTAAACCCTAAACCCTACCCCAAATCCCTAAACCCTAAACCCTTAAACTCCTTGGACTGCTGGGCAGCCCATGAGTTTAGAGGCAAAACTTTTAAAAAACCTCGAGTCGTGATGGGGCGGCCTTGGCTTAGAAATCAAGTCTCATATGGGAGCTTCCGAAATTAGGGGTACCTTATTTGGGGGTCCTTATAATAAGGATCCTTCTATTTAGGGTACTATATTAGGGTCCCCTATTTTGGGAAACTTCCATATAAACCTTACACTCTGCAGGTTGAGCCTGTGTTGTAAGCCGAAATTCGCTTTGACCCGAATTTCGTCTTCAGGCGGAGTCTCGTCTGCAGATTTCGTCTTCGCGCACAATTTGAGCTTCAACTCCCTAATTCCTTACGAACAATTTCTTCTTCATCGTCTTCGGAATTAGGTCTTGGCAGGGGGGATGCAACGGGGACCCAGTTTCCCTGGACCAATGCCTACATCAGAGTCATGCAAAAAAGCCACCGGAAGAATGGCATAAGGAATGGCCCAAGCAGGGAAGGGCTTCTCGATGCCCGCGGGGTTCACGATCCAGGGGCGCTTGCTGCCATCGGAGAGGACCAGGTTTGGCGAGAAGTCTGCATCGACCTGCAACATCCTCAGGTTTGTCTCGTTGGAGTAGATAGCAGCAACCGCTGACGCGACAACGAGGGCGATGGTCACCGCGAAGTTGGCCAGGAGGTTGCGGATAGACCGGAGCGCCCAAGGCTTGCGCCGGAAGTGTGACAAATAGGTCGCCAATCCAAAGGTGAGGAGGAAGAGAAGCATCTCGAACATGGCATTGGTCAAGGGCATTACACCATCGGCGAAATTCTCAATGAGGGGTCTCGCTCCATCGATGATGAAAATGAGTGAGATCAATCCAGCGAAGATGTCTTCACTGAACCTTACTCGTCCAGACTATGGGGAAAGAAGAGTTAAGCTTTTGGGCTGTAAATTGCCCGTGATACGGAGCTCTAGCGCGATGTGATGCTCGAAGAGATTCCACGAGTTTGACGTTGTTGCGGGCTAAGCCGCTAAGCTCAGAGAGTTCGCAGGAAGGAGACGAGTGCCAGGCAGGTTGGGGGATTTGGTGGATGCAACAGGAACACCTCATAACAAGGGCCAAGACTCCAAACTCTTTCTTTTGCATCCAGTCCCCCAAACCCAAACCCTGCATTCTTTTTGAAACTGGACTTATTGGCTGCCGGAACACGACCCTACGAGCTTCACCCTGGATTCTAAACCTTGTCACCCCTCACTTCTCAACCCTTAAAAATGAACCCCACAAGCTTGCTTCGCCGGAACATCGTCACGTGCTTCATGAGGGCGCAGAGGTCGAAAACCGCGACGAGGATGGTGAAGAGCGAGCACCACATGCAGGTCCAGAAGTAGAAGGGCATGAACCTAGGCTCTGCAGAAGGCTTTGGCTTTAGAACTTTGGGTCGACAAGACTAGTCGACGCCATCTCTTCAGAGTTTCTTTAGAGGGGATGATCGCTTTCTGGGGAAGGGCGGCTTTTACTGAGGTTAACCCCTTCGTAATATGCACTGGCGAAGCTGATTACTCAGGGACCTAGGAACTCAATGTCGACAGCTTCCGCCAGGTCGTAGACGACGAGGGTGTAGGCCAGGAAGGGGCCGGTAGCTCCGAGGATGGACAAAGGCTGCCCTGCACTGCGGACTTCTGGGAAGAGGGATTCAGGGTTCAGGGTTGAGGGTTCAGAGGTTTTAGGGTTCAGGGTTTAGGGTTCAAGGTCAAGGGTTCAAGGTTTAGGGTTTAGGGCTCCGCCGACCCAGGCCTGCGAATGTGGAGAAAAGTATGCCGCTGATGCACGTGGACATGATCATCCTCGGATGGGACCGCGCATGCGGCAAGGATGCAGGAACCCAAACTCACCAACGCTGTAAGGGCTTCAAGGACGATGTCAGCATTCCTCGAAGCCACTTCTGCAGCCAAGCATCTCCAGCACTCCAAATTGACCGTTGGTGCCGTCCAAGAAGCGGCTCCCGAAGGTGATCGCCGGTGCCAGGGCCGCTATGAACAAGTACCTGATTTTCCGAATGCCCAAGGAAACAACAGTCCTGTCTCAGAATCATACAAGACCGTAAGAACCAGAACATGTAACAGCTTGGAAAACTAAGTGAGGGACGTGATCGAGGACACAGATTTTTGGATGTTCTCAGCCTTAAACGCGTCTGTCCAGTCGCTGGCATAGAGCGGCAGACGCCTCTTCAAGTCCATCCTCAACCCACCTGCGATCTTCCCCGTGAATTCGAGCGGGCCAAAGTCTTTCTTCGAGGTGTGGGTGATGTACCCGGACTGGTCGCGCATCACGGCCTCGGCCTCCGTCATGGCTTCGAGGGCAGGGGATGCGAAGCAAGGGGAAGTGAAGCTGAGCCTGTTCTGTCGAAAATGCTTGAGCCGCCGCGGTGTGTGGGGCGGGCTGTGGCGCAGGTCAGCTGAGTCTGCAAGCAGATGCAACTGCAAAATACTGCAACTGTGGCACCTTTGTGGCCTTCAGCCAGAGTGGTAAACCAGCTTCCTGGCGGCACGAAACCACGAAAGGTTGCGAAGGACTCATGAAGGACTCAGACGACTTCAAGTTTCATTGCGACACCCTCCGGGCTATGTCAGGATTCGACACACGACCGATGGGCCGATGTGGGCCGGACCCAAAGACGAGGGTTCGGCTGCGAAGCATGCAGCAAACGTGCGATACCATGGCAGCAGACTTTCTTGCTCGGAAACTCAACGGAAACAGAAACATGCAGAACCTTCTTGAAACAGTGCCAGGAACGTAGCAAGTCAATCGTCACTGACATTGTCCTAGTTCTTGGCCTTTGCTAACACGCACTGGTGCAACGTACCATTGCCCAAGTAAGCCTGCTCACAGTCTGTCGTTGCATCCCTGAAAAGGCCTCACGAACTCACTGGCTCATGCAAATAAGTTTCGCTTGGAATTAGCACATAGGGGTTGAAAGTAGTTGAGGATATAAGACTGTGCGAAAGTGAAAAACAAAAACGAGTGGCTTGCCCGAGAGAGTAACCCTCATCCCAAGGACTAGGCCATCCTACCCCCAAAAACCTAAACATTGGACTAGGCTTCAAGGTATTTTAACTTCAAATATCAAAAGTTTCGTTGTCGAGATTTGGCTGTATGGAACTGTAGGTTTCAGCTTTTTTCAGCTACGACACTATCCTGTCATATACAATAATCTACAATATACGTTAATACCGCAAGAATTAACATCATATCTTAGGAGCATAATATACTACAATATACTATAATATCCTGAAACATGTGAAACATAATATAGTTTTTTGCATCATATTATGGGTAGGTCTCTCCATTAGGATCCCTTCTTAGGTCCCCAAAATAGTACGGCGAACTTGTGAAAAGGACCCTGAAAGGGCCCAAATTTGGAGAACTACCTATATTATGGTGGTAACAAACCCTTTGAATAGTAATAACAATAAACATGACAACAATAGTTAACTTTTGGTATCATATACTATGCTTGGCGGCACTTTGGTGCGGAGAGCCCCCCATCTGCCCCAACTCCGAAAAAGCCACCGTGGCCTGGAAAATTGCGCTGAACTGCTCGATGATCCTGGGCTTTTGGGGTTTAGGGTTTGGGGTTTTAAATTTCGGGTTTAGGGTCTAGGGCCTGGTGTGGGAGGGATCATATCCAAGACTGCTGCAAGATTGCCTCCATCAGAAGCTTTGATCGGGAAGCCGGATCCGGAACAACCCACTCTTTTCTGGGCACACACGTGTGCAATCTCAGGACTCAACTGCTAGACTGTTGATCCTCCGTACACTACACACCCTACGCACCCCCCCACTTCTCCCTAAACCCCACTTCGAAGCTTGAGACCAAGTTGCTGAGAGGCCAGAAGCTCCTGTCGAAGATCATCGCCTCCTTTCACCATCACCGCGTTCCTCAGTGGCTCCCTTCCAGGTGGAGTCATGACTTCCCAAACCCTAGCTGCAAGTATGAAACGTGCTGATTATTTTTCATATGCGCGTAAACGAAATCCGAAAGCACCTCTGTCGAAAGAATTCGTGCCCCCGACACGAAAGTTCCTTGCTGCAACACCTTCATGCCTGCGGAAAGAGCTCGACTTCTAAACCTGCTGACAGAGCCAAGTTTAGCTACTAACCCTGCCATCGTCATGACGGAATATGCCGGAGACTTATCTGTTTACACTGGCACTGCAACGCATCTTCCGGGCATGGTTGGCCATTCTCGTTTCGTTCATCCGGCATTCGTCTTGCTCCTTTCACGTTTGCGCCGATCGCACGTGTTGAAGGACTTGCTCCAGACCCCAGCGGTAGGACACAGCCTATTTTCAGCTTGAGCACACCTTGTGCAGGACTCCTGAGTGCAAGGGTCACGGACAAGGGTGGGCCTGGAGATGGCAGCGTTCCCTTGCATAGTCTGCATGGCCGACTTCGGCATGTGCAAAATCCATGAGCGACGGGCAAAAGTGGTGTCCGTGCCTATTTCAGTCAGAGCTTGAGCTGGCCCCTCTCTTTTTTCCAGGTTTCTGCTGAGATCCTATACTTTATGGTTTGGTGGCACTCCACCTTTTTACCATGACGGATGGATAAACCTTCGGACAAGTTTTCTCAAGCCCGAGGGGGCCATCACTAGTGCTCCTGAGCTGCGGGGCTTCTCAAACCTTAATTTATTAACTTATGTAATTAGCCCGACAGCAAATGGGATCTGCAAGCTTAAAGAGCTATAGAGCGCTGATGTCTTCCGAGCACTTGGCTGGATCGCCGAAAAGTTATGCGTCGCTTTGGGTTTCGTCTTGAACTTGCATGACTTGGGTGGCTAAGTGGAAAAATACTTTACTCTGAGCAGTGTATGTAGCCACCTTCGACGCAGGGATTAAAATCCTAAATCCTAAACCGTGGCTCTGCAGGGAACCCTAAGACTTGCTTTTCTTGCGGCAAAAGCTCAAACTCCACGACGCGTAGCGGCTGTAGGGAGACGCCACTCGTACTCGCTCAACCTGAGCAGGTCGCGTGAGCGTGTAAACCGCCTCTGGGGCGCATCCTTTTCGGGGCATCTCGTGGCGTGCCCGGAGACTTTGTTTGAGCGTATCGGAAAGCTCGAGCTATCGGGGGTGCGGGTGCTTGAGCTGTGAGGTGTCGGAGCGTTTCAAGCTTGGCAGCTTTGGTGAGATTGGGAAGTTTGGAGGTGTCGAAGGCCTGCTGCATTTTGGCATACTTCTCGCAACTGCGCCCCACAAACGGACAGAAAGGTCAAGCAGCTCGTGGACGGTCTCTGACGCATGCAGCGCGCCCGCACTTCGGGCACCAACTGGAACATGAATGACTTGAGGATCTTGATCGTCACCAGCCGTAGCCATCATAACCGTCCAACAGTCTCTGCTACTATTCAAACTCAATCCCTGCTCATCCTTGTCGTCGTCCGAGGCACCATTGCCATCCATTCTCAGCACCATGATCTTCATCCTCATAATCATCACAACCATCACAATCATCAACAGGTGCTTATCATCAACAGGTGCTTCAACTTCCGACAACATTACCACCAGCATGAGCATCTTCATCATCAGCAGCAGCACCACCACAACCACAACCAAGGACGACTACCACGACCACCATCATCACGATCACCACCACCTTGTTCGTCACGATCAGCATCAGCATTGTCACCAGCAATCACTGAAGCACCAGCTATGTGGTCTTCAGCGGCTGCGCGGCATGCAGCTGAGCAGCTTTGTCTTTCCAAGGCTCTCCCCATATCTCGTGCCTTGCAAGGAGTGCATCAGAAAGACTTCAAGACGAGCTATGGGAGAGAAGTGTGGGTAGTCACAAATTAGCGAGCAAGATTCGCCAGCTGAGCAAGAATCGCTCCAGACAACCACTGACTAACCCAAACACTAATCCCGGTCGTCCTCTTCTTGGCTGCAAGCTCCCGCCGCTCTTTTGCAGCTGCCCTGCACCCCGGCTCGAGAGTTCCGGGTTTGCAGCAGATGGATTTTGGCTTTGGGTTCTTTGCAACTCCAAAAGCCCCCTTCTGCGGCCTGCAGGTGGGCATGCTCCAAACACACCTGAACAGCCAACCATTTTGAAACATCCGACATAATCCTCAACTAGCCCACAGGGACAATGTCACACAGACGCCGTGAAAAGGCCTAGTTGAATTTGAATGCCGGAGAATCGCCCCCCCTCTGCCTCATGGGCTTCGCTAACGACTCCTGGGTCCACTTCTGGGTGTAACACAGGGAACTTGGAAATTAGAAGAGGGTTTCGGGCTATATAGGGACCGAAAGAGGCCACCTAGTGATTCAGACGCCTATGGTAGGGTTTACGGGAACAGCAGAACCGAAAAGCAACGCAAGATCCCGCAGGTTCTCTAGGACTCTAGGAGTGTTAAGGCTTGGGTCGTCTTCTGGCTCAGCGGCATAGGTTGACAGCTACTGTAGCTAAGGGCGGAGTCTCTTTGCTCATAAAGCTCGCCCAGACATTCACGGGGAGTTTGCCACGGACAGCAAACACCTAGACTGCAAAGCGCTGCCCTCCATCGCCGAAACCCTGAACGGGAAATCCTCCAAAACCGTAAATCCAAAACCCAAAGCCCCCAAGCCTCAGCTCACTGCTGCCGGAGCCACGTCGGCCTCCAACTCGGGCTGCTCCCGGGCGGGCGCCTTGGGGACGTAGGAGCTGAAGGACCGCCAGTCATCGGGGGTGACCTCCACAGAGAGACGGTCTAGGGTTTAGGGGTAGTTCAGGGTTTCGGGTTTGGGGTGTAAGTTCGCGAATTCCTGTGGTCTTGGGCCTTGTTGTCGTTTGGAGTTTGACTCCGTGAATATGCGTGTCTTCACGGGCAAGGGTTGACGGCTTGAATACGGTCTACAGCGGATGAATTGAACGCAGGGAACATATCTCGAGGACTGAAGAAGTGTCCGGGTACTTCTTAAGGCTGAAAGGCTTGGGGCTAGGGCGGCTAGGGCTTGTTGATCACGGCAGGACAACTCAAATTTGTCAATCCATTGGTCGATGGTCGCAGCTGAAGGGATGTATTGTTGGCTTGGGTCTCGGGTTTACCACTGGCACCGCAATAGTCATCTCCAGTCTCTGCTACGTGCAGTTTAGAGTCCCAGCAAATATCACGAGCCTATCGCCCTCCAAACCTTAAAGCACACAACCCCCACAGCCCTGAACCCCTGATGCACGAGGTTGCGACACCGCTTCGCACAGAATTTCTCACCCTGGTTCTGCAGCTTTTACACCCCGTCCAGAAGCTTCAAAGTGTTAGAGGATTTAGCTCAAGTCATCTTCTACTTAACCGGACTCTTCTGCGCGTTTCATGAAACATAGATAACTCTCCAACTGCACAAACTCGTTCGCCGCCTCCTTAATTAAATGATGGAGGTCCTGCATGCTCTGGAGGTGATCGCCTCAGTTGATCATGGATTGCACAGGCGTGTTACAGCAGAGCCTGCAGGAATCAGAAAAGCTGTAAGAAGAGTGCAGCACATGCAGATTCTGCAGCCCACTCACCGCCAAGGCACTGTCATCGGACTGCGAATTCGCAGCAGGGGCAGAGTCGGGGCTCTCTTCAGCGGCGACAGCAGCGGCAGCACGCCGCAGCTCTGTCAGCACGCACCCCGCGAGCCTTCCCGGGCTGGAGATCTACCATCTGAGCCAGGACTCCTGGTGAAAGTCATCACCCATCACCCGTGATCAACCTTATCACAACCTCTCCAGCACCGCCAGCAGGATCAACCCCTGCTCCGTGATCATCAGGAAGAGATCCCTATCCGAACAAGTAGCACTGAAAACCGTCACAGCTGGCTGTTGCTTAGCATCTCTGCGCCCTGACACGGTCGCCATTGGGCGATAAGACCACTCATCCGCTTACTTAAACTCTCATCATTACCATAGTCATCCTCCTGGCTGTCATCAGGCCCACCATCTTGATCTGATCAGTGGCATCGTCGCCACCAGCACACGATTACAATCGGCCATGACATGCCCGACGGTGATCATCGCCATCCTCGTCGTCATCGGACAAAACAACTCCGCAAAACAACAAAGCTTGACTCGCCGACTAGCCCATCCACATATTATGCAACGACAAGAACAACAGAGCAATAAAGAAGGAACATTGTTACCATCACAGCCTTCGGTATACATGATAGCATCATCAGCATCACCCTCAGGGTGCCGACGGCATCAAGAACATCAGCAACAGCATGATCATGCTCTAGAACTGTCATCATCTTTGATTATTGCCGCTACTATGCCGATGATTGGCGATGCTCCGGGACCAGAAGGACTTGCTGTAATAGCCATCAAACGTCGACATCGCCGTAATCGTTGTCGTTTTCGTCGTCGTCCGTCGTCGTCATCGTCGTCGGCATCGTCACCACGGCCGTCATCGCAGTAGCGGTGGTGGTTGTCGTCATAGTGATTTCTAGTAGTAGTAGTAGTAGTAGTAGTAGTAGTAGTAGTAGTAGTAGTAGTAGTAGTAGTAGTAGTAGTAGTATCATCATCACACTCGCTGCGGACGGTGAGGTCGCATTGCGATGACTCGAGCGGGGTCACCCGGCGCACTGTGGCGCTCGATCTCAGTTGGATCGACTCATCTAGCTACGTAGCTACTCTGCCCCGAAGGGCCTATGCTGAGGTTGCAGCACTCCTCATTCGGTACACAAGGATGTAATTGGAGGTGGACAAGGCTTCAGGTGTGACCGATTGCGCAGGACTATTGTCGTCGGTGTGATGCCACACGTTCGCTGTGCCTGAACGAGGTTTGAGTGCAGCACGGTAGTGCCCACTGACCGTGGTCGGTCCTATATGCTGGACAATCGCCTGAAGCTGATACGTTCTCCAAATGATACCTTCAGGGGATGAGGGAGTCCATTGTGGGAAAAGGACTTCTGGATCAGCATCTATGCGATGGTCACGTTTGGATGCAATGCCCCGTTCATTGCGAAAGCGGTTGAGCTGTACAGCCACAGCTTCAGTGCCTGCAATCAGGGCGTGGCGACGTTTCTGCGAATGCCAGCGATTGATGCAGGACTGGGCAGTGGTGGCAATTGTGTTAGAGGCATCTTGCATACCGGAAAGTATGAGTGGGCAGACCCCGCCTTCATCTTGAAGCATGTGGCTGTCGTCAAAGGACTGCCAGAGGCCCTGGAAGCAGGGTGCATTGAGGACTTGGTGTAGGTGAAGGAGGAAGTCCGCTGCATCATGTTGCCTGGCTGGGTTGGACCAGCGTCGCATTGCCTGCCTCCACGGGAGGAGCGACCAGAGTGTCACTGGCTGTTGTTTGCGCGCCTGGGCGATGAAGCTCCTCAGCGGTTCCCTGTCCAGTACCTGAAAGGAGGAGGGGGTTTGGGACACAAGCCAAAGATAAGTAAAAAGGCAGGCATGGGAGTAACAGTAGTTGGAAGGATTGCGGAGCTGCAATGTCGGGAGCAGGGCTGAGGTCTCGGCGGCTGTCTCGGCATAGGGATGTGCATGGACTGGAGGAGGGTCTGCAGCTGTTGGGCCAAGGCTGATCTCTGGAGGCGATCCGGACGAAGGGTGCAACCGATCATCAGGAGGGAGGAGTTGTGTGAAAGGAGCTGGAGCAGCTCCCAGAAGCGAGCCGTTTGCTCGCCCCTCCAGCCCACTTCCAATAGCCAGGTCACTGTGCTGCCTTCCATTTTCTCCTCCAGCTGACGAGTGGCATGGAACCGGTTGAGCAGTTGCGGTTGTACGCTCAGCGTCGCTAGCTCCTTTGCAATCTCCACCACTTTCTGCGCCGAGAGCGGTTCGCGATCGGGAATGGGCTGCATCACGCCCTCCTTGTTGTTCCATTTGCGGTAGCCGAACCCCGTGGTCGGGTTGTAGAGCTCCATTTGGATCGCCTGTTCTCGGGCATCCTCCTGGTCGATGACTTTCTGGGCACGCTGAGACAGCTCGAGCATCAGTTTCTGCCACAGAATGATGCGCATCGGATGGGTGATGGATTCCGGGTCGTTCCACCGCAGCTCGTGCCATCCTTGGGCTGTGGCGAACAGCTTGGGGAGGACAGTGCCCGGGGGCTGAGTCGTGAGGAAGAGGATCCAGGGTGGATTGCTGTAGGACTGAGAGAGCGTCCTCGTGTCTCATGAGGAGTCTGGCCATGGTGTGGCACATGAGAGTGAGGTCGGGACCTGAAGAAGGCCCGTATCCCGGTCCTTGTCGCTGCCATGGGGGTTGGGGGTGGTATCCGGATGGGCGACCCCCTTGACGTCTTGGCGGGCCTCCCTGAGGTGGAGGGCGGTTGGCAGGGTTCTGTTGGGTGGCTCCTTTGCTGTTGTCCCTCTGCCATTTGGAAGGTCTGTCGGGGACGTCCGTCGATGGAGGATTCGAGGAGTCCGGCATGTCTCCCTGTGGTGGGGGTTCGCTCATTAGTGTCGTTGGGGCCATCAGGGGCTGAGGCTGCTTGGGTATCAGCCGGACCTGCGCTTCGATGCTCTTGAGCTCCTGAGTGGCTTCTTCCAGGTCTTCCGGGCTCACCTGGTGCGCATTGAACATCGAGGGGAGAGTCATCGCGGACCTGAGGCAGGCGGTTCGAGTGATGTAGCGCATGCGTGGCCTGCAGCAAATGAACCAGGAACAGGACTGCACACTCAGTGGCGTGCTTGATAGGCGCTCCTGTTAAGGAGAGGCTGCAGTAGCGACAGGTGCTACCAAGGGCCAAAAGCCTGCGATGAGATTGCATACGTTGGACGGCTTCTTCACAGCAAGGGATCATTGGGGAGTGTTTGGCTTTAATATGGGCTCGGAGGCCACGCGCTTGGGTCAGCCACTGGTGACAGTACGGGCAGTGATGGACTGCCTGGGGGAGCATCTTTTTCAGCCAAGAGGCGAGCCTTTCCCAACTTCCGACTAGGTAGAGCTGACATTCAGGTCTGTGGTACAGGGGAGTCGGGTTGAGATTGTGTTTTGGGGGTAGGGCGTTAAAGCCGTCTGGGACCAAAGTTCGGCAGGATTTGGTGGAGATGTGTATTCGTAAGTTATGCCACGAATCACACTGTCGGAGGCAGTGTCGGCACTGTGGTAGACCTTCTCGACCATGCTGCCAAACAAACAGAGCATGTTCATCTGCCGCGAAGTCAGGTAGCGAGGCCGGGGCCGTGGTAGCATCTGGGTCCATCATGACGACTGGAGTAGAGGAGGCGTGATCTGGGTCCGGAGCCTGAGCAGGAGGTGGGCGCAAGTCCGAGGAGGCAGGTGCCTGTCGCACTTGAGTGTGATGGGACTTCCGCATGTGGAGACGGACGGCCTGAAGGGTGCTATAGCCAACTCCGCAGATTGGGCAGTTGAGTGGCCGATAGCTGAGAACGCTGCTGATGGGCTTGAGGTGGGCGCGAGTAGAGCCTCCCCGAGAAGGGGGCATAGAGGCAGAAGGGTCGGATGCAGAGACAGCAGGCGTCGTCGAGTAGTCCTGCAGCAGATCGAACCAGGTTTCCTGCGCCTCAGTTGGAAACTCCGGGGCTTGTTGGAGATGTCGTTGGATCCGCTGGTCAAGGGTGTCGCCTGGCAGGTCGAGTTGGCTTCTGAGGAGTAGGTCGTGGGAGGTAACTTTGGTGATGTGGCCCGGTAATTTATGGATGAGGCGGAGCTGGGCGTGGACGAACTGAGAGAGGAGGGTGCGGGAGTGGTAGGTGATGCCTGTGGCCTCCAGGGAGTAAAGGACGACCGGGTAGACACATGTCTTCCAGACGCGGATTTTGCTGTCTAGGGTCAGTGCTCGACAGCGGAGGACCTTGGCCAGTCGCCAGTAGGCCTGCCAGCCAAGGTGCAGTCGGTGCTGCAGGTTGAGAGCTTCATGGTTCTGGTAGGCAACTCTGGCTCCAAGGTAGGTATGGGCGTCTACTATCTTGATGAGCATAGTAGTTTGACCTACGCGAAGCTTTATTGCGGGCTCGCCTGTTTCCAGCTTGGCGAGTCTGGGGCGAAGAGTGCTTCTGGCCGCAGTACCTTGGAGATTGAGCAGGAAGACAGTTTTCGTGGGCGACACTCGGAGGCCTGCTTCGTGGAGGAGCTGGATCAGTATGCCTGCCGCGCGCAGGCTGGAACGGAATTGTTCCTGTGTCCGTATGGTCCAGGAGGACCAGATATCATCGGCATAGAGGGTGGGCTCTCCCAACATCTCCTTCTTTTGAGTGATTGTCTCTTTGAACTTTAGGTAGAGCTTTGTGGTTGCCATAGACCACAAGAGGGGCGAAAGACCGCAGCCCTGACGGATGCCCTGTGAGAGCTCGACTTCGTCTTTGTGCCCTGCCAGCTCGAAGGTGAGCTTGGCCTGGTCGTGGATGTGGAGCGCAAGCGCTACCTCTTCTGATGTCAGGCCTGCTGCCTGCATTGAAGTCACAAGCTGTTCTCTTGGCAGCGAATCAAAGGCTTTGTCAACGTCCAGGCTTAGCGAGAGACCCCCGGCGAGTTGACAGGGGGTTACGCCAGAGTGGCGCTGGTGTCTTTTGGGAACAGCGGCTGCAGCCAAGGTTCGTGCTTCATGCAAGTGGCTGCATACACGGCTGATCGCGTCTGTGGTGCTGCGATTGCTAACGTAGGCGAATTGTGGCGCTTGGCGGATGTATGCTTCGGCTCTGTCACGTATACGGTCTGCCAGCATCATGGCTAGGATCTTGCTGCCAGGTGGGAGGAGGCAGATGGGGCGCAGTTGTTTCGGGAGACGAGCCATGGTCACCTTTGGGATGAGGCATACGTGTACGCGGTGCCAGTCCTCGGGTAGGCAGTAGGTCGGCGGCTGGAGACAGTGCTTCAGGCCTTCCGCTAGGTCTGGCCCAATGGCCGTTGAGGCGGCTTGCCACACGCGAGCAGGCATGTAGTCT